GCTGCCGGAACGTGTCCAGACGGGCGGCGTTGAAGAGGAGGTGGTCCCGGACCTTCACGTTCTGCATGCCGCCCACCAGCGTCGAGATCTTGACGTCCTGGTCCAGCACCTTCCCGTTCTGCTCCTTGTAACGCCTGACGTCCCGCTCGAAGGTCTCGATCTCCTTCGCGAAGTCGCCGTTCGGATCCTTGCCGAACTCGCGGCGCAGAAGTGTATGCAGCACTGCGCCATGGCGGACTCGCACGTCCGCCTTGTACTCCGATTGTACTCCCAGCACAGCCGTCTCCAGGCCTCGGCGCCGTTGCCCTCCTCCACGTTGTGTAACAGGAGGTGAGCGTAGTCCGTCGTCGTCACCACCAGCATGTAGTACAGCTGGCGCTTCAAAACGGACCGTCCACGACCAAGGGCTCCCATCGCCTCCGCGCGCTTGAAGAGCTCCGCCATGGTGGCATGCGCGGCGCAGGCGAGGGCGTAGAAGTCGAAGCGGTACTCCCGCCACGCCTCGCCTGCTTCCCCAGGGTCCGCGTGTCCACGTTTGCGCCGCCAAGGCGCTCCAATCGCGGCGGCTGCGGGGCCGCTGGGGGCGCCGCGCGAAGCCGCGCGAGCTCGGCCTGCGCCGCCTGCAGGCCTTGCTCCGCGGCCTGCCCGCGCTGCTGCTGCCGCTGGAGCTCCTGGACCAGCGCCTGCTGCCTGGCCTCGATGGCCTGCAGCCGCTGGGCCAGCTCCTCCATCGTTCCGGCCAGCACGGCGCTCTCGAGCGCCGAGGGAGCGCCCGCCGCGCTTGCCGGGCATGCGCTGCCGCAGACCGCGGGGCTACCGCAGGTCGCGGGGCCTCACCAGGCGCGGGGCTGACCGCTGCCTAGTGGCCTTCCCAGGCGCGGAGCCGCCCGCTGCCCAGGCGGAGCCGCGGAACCAAACCACAAGCTCCGCTACCATGCGCGAGTATGAAACTCGCGGGAGGGATCGCAGATGGGAGGGAAGGACTGGGGCACTCGTTTCCTCCATGCTCGGATGCTCGAGCCAGACCGACCGCGGGACCGGTTTCGCCGTTACCTGTCTGTGCTATTGCCTGCACTGCTAAGTACAGCACGGCCGGAGTTAAACCTGTTAAAGGCATGTTGTTCTACTATGTTTCGCACTGGGCTTCAATCGCTACACATCTAGGCCCTGTAGTTCACCAAGAGTGCTTTATTCATTCATACTCAGGCGGATTCATACCCAGATTCACCTACATTCAGACTCACTCATACTTGTACCTCTCGTGCACACACCGACTGTCACTGAAACCCACCTACACTCAGACACACACACACACATTCACACTCAGACCCGCTCGTACTCAGACTCACTCGCACTACGACGCAGTCACACAGATCACTCGCCGACAGACCCACTCTCAATCAGACTATCTCGCACTCGGACTCGGAGATTGTGAGGATGTTTCAGGTGGGGCGCTGGCTCCAGCATCTCAAGGGGGAGCTGCCATGATTGTTTGCACGGCCACGCTCGCGCACAGATTGCGGAAATGTCCCAGGCGGTTGCCTGTTTTGGCCCTCCCAGGCTCCTCTGCTGTCAGAGCAGTTTGCAAGGACGTTTCAGGCGAGGCGCTGATTTCGGCACCCCAAGGGGCAGCCGCCAGGGTTGTTTGCATAGCCCCGTTCGTGTCCAGATTGCGTAGATGTCTCAGGCGCTTTGTTGGTTTTCCCCAGATTCATCCTCTCCTCTCCTCCTCTTCCCGCCCCTCCCTCATCCTCCCGATTTGGGCACACCCCTCACAAGCTTCGTGGCCCCATAGGGAGCTCCACCGAAGGCCCCCGCGGTATGGTTCGCATGCCGCACCCCCCTCCGTTTTGGCACACCCCGTTCGCGCTTCGTGGCCCTACAGGGAGCTCCACTGAAGGCCCCAGTGGCATGGTTCGCATGCCGTTCCCTTCTATTTTGGCGCACCCCTCACACGCTTCGTGGACCCATAGGGAGCTCCACCGAAGGCCCCCCGTGGCATGGTTTGCACGCCGCCTCCCTACGTTCCGTGGCGGCCCCATAGGGAGCTCCACCGAAGGTCCCCGTGGCATAGGTCGCATGTCCCTCCCCTTTGGCACACCCTTCACATGTTTCGTGGCCCCATAGGGAGTTCTACCAAAGGCCCTGTGGCATGGTTCGCACGCCACCCCCCCTGCATGTTGGCTCACCCCTCACACGTTTCGCGGCCCCACGGAGAGCTCCACTGAAGGCCTCTGTGGCATGATTCGCATGCCGCCCTCGTCCTCTTTTGCGCACCCCTCACACGCTTCGTGGCCCCACAGGGAGCTCTGGAGAAGGCCGCAGTGGCATGGTTCGCAAGCGGCCCCCCTCCGTTTTGGCATACCTCTTACATGTTTCGTGGCCGTACATGGAGCCCCACTGAAGGCCCCAGTGACATGGTTCGCATGCCGCCACTTTCAATGCTGGCACACCCCTAACACGCATCGTGGCCCCACTCCACCGAAGGTCCCCCATGGCATGGTTCACATGCCGCCTCCACTCCGATTTGGCACACCCCGCACTCGTTAGGGAGCTCCACCGAAGGTCCCCGTGGCATGGGTCGCATGCCCCCCCCCTTCTATCTCGGTTCACCCCTCACACGCTTCGCGGCCCCACAGAGAGCTCCATTGAAGGCCCCTGTGGCATGATTCGCATGCCGCCCCCCACCATCCTCTTTGGCGCATCCCTCACGCGTTTCGTGGCCCTACAGGGAGCTCAACCGAAGGCCCCAGTGGCATGGTTCGCAGGCCGCCCCTCCACTTTGACACACCCCTCGAACGTTTCGTAACTCCGCAGCACCGAAGGCCCCAGTGGCCTGGTTCGCATTGTATGCCGCCCCCCCCCTGCGCTTTGGCACACCCCGCATACGTTTTGCGGCCCCACAGGGAGCTCCGCCGAGGGCCTCAACGGCAGCGCCCGCATTGCGGCCCCTCCCCATTGCGGCGCACCCTTCGGGCGATGTGTGCCCATAGGGAGCTCCACCAAAGGCAGTTCTCACAACGGCGGTATTCGCAACCGCATATGGTTGGGCCCTTCGCCAGGATAATGGGTTTTGGGGGAAGATGTTCTCAAGCGAGGCGCTGGTTCCAGCAGCCAAAGGGGGAGCCGCCAGGGTTGTTTGCACTGCCCCGTTCGCGCCCAGATTGTGGGGATGTCTCAGGCGGTTTGTCTGTTTTGGCCCCCGGGCTCATTTGCTTCCAGAGCAGATTGTGAGGTTGTCTCAGGCGAGGCGCAGGTTTCAGCAGCCCAGGGGGGAGCCCCAGGGAGCACCCACGAGCTCCTAGGAAGCTCCAGGACGTCTCAGGAGGAGTTAGGGAGCCCCGAAAAGATCGAGGGAGCTGGCAGGAGCTTCCAGGAAGCCCCTGGGATCCCCCAGGAAGCTCCAGGGAGCCCCCAGGAGCTCCAAGAATTTCAAGAACGCCCCAGGAAGCTCCTGGGAGCCCCAGGAAGCGGCAGGACGCTCCAGGGAGTTCCCAGACAGCTCCGGGACGCCCCAGCAAGCTCCAGGAAGCCTCTATGAAGCTCCAGGGAGCCCCAGCGAGCTTCCAGGCAGCCTTGGGATCTCCCCGGAAGCTCCGGGGAGCCCCAGGAAGCCAGGGAGAGCGAGCTTCCAGGCAGCCTTGGGATCTCCCAGGGAGCTCCAGGGAGCCCCAGGAAGCCTCAGCGAGCTCGCAGGAAGCTCCTGGGAGCCTTCGGACGACTTATTCGAAGGGAGCGCCCAGGAGCTCCCAGGAACCCCAGGGAGATCGATGTACCATGCGGTTTAAGTGTCTGGTTGCCCAGAATCTTTGATTGCAGAGCAGATTGTGCGGATGTCTCGAGTGAGGTGCTGGTTCCAGCACCCTGATGCGTGGCCGCCGCTGGATATCTCACTCGCCCGTTCGCGACCAGATTATGGGGGTGTCTCAGGAGGTTTGCCTGTTCGGCGCCCTGGACTTGTCTGCGTTCAAAACAGACTGTGAGGATATCTCAGTCGAGGCATTGGTTTCCTCACCCCAGGGGGGGAAACCACGGGGGGTGTAAGCATGGAGGAGTGCGGAGGAGGAGAGGGAGGAGAAGGAGATAAAAAAGGAGGAGCATGGAGGAGGGGGGGGAGGCGGAGGAGGAGGATGGGAGGAAGAGAAGGGAGGAGTTCGGAGGAGGATGGGGGGAGGTGGAGGAGAAGCAGGAGGAGGAAGGGCGAGGGACGGCAGGAGGAGGAGGAGGAGGCTCTGCAAGGGGGGTGCGTCCACCACTCCTGGCCTCGAGAGCTTGGGGCTCAGACGCCACCAGCGAGTCGTGCAGGGGCACCAGATGCACATATGGAGACATCCGCGTTTGCTAGTTGCCTCCCTTCTCCTTCCTCCTTCCCTCCTCCCTCCCCTCCCTGCCTCCTTCCTCCTGCCGCCTTCCTCCCTCCCCTCTGGCCAAAATGCATTCAAAAGCACACCTCCACCTGAACTTTGAATGACGCAGGGGGGGATTGCAACGGCCCCTGCGCAAGGGTGACATATGCTGCAGCAGGAGGCTGCTACGGTTGGTTATCCTCGTCGTCCTCTTCGTCTCCCAAAACCATTCGTTTCCTCATCCTTCTCCTGCTTCTCCTCGTCCTCGTCCTCCTTCACATCCCTCTTCCTATCTTTCTCGGAGGAGGGCCAGCTGAGACAGCGGCCGCTCTCCCGCAATGCCTACGTCTGCTTAACATCGGCTCTCGCACACCCTCTGGGAACGGCGGAACACGCCAGGGAGTCCCGCCGGTGTTTCGATTGGCCCCTCTCCGGCGTTCCTCCTCTTCCATCTCCTCCTCCTCCTCCTCTCCCCCTTCTTCATCCTTCCTCCTCGTTCTCCTTCCATCTTCCTCCTTCCTCCTCCTTCCATCTCCCCCCTTCTTCCTCCTTCTTCCCCCTTCTTCCCCCTTCTTCCTCCTCCTTACAGCTCCTCCTCCTTCTCGTTTTCCTCATTCTTCGTCCCTCTCCCCCTGTCCTTCTGTTTCCCCCCAGGCGCCCCCGCCCATGATGCCGTCCCTGCAGGCGCTCCCAGGCGGTGACCCCGGGTCGCCCTTGCCGCCGTCCTACGGCCCCTGCCGAGGAAGAGGACGAGGACGAGGACGACGAGGAGGAGGAGAAGGAGGAGGAGTAGGAGGAGGAGGGGGAGGGGGAGGGGGGGAGGGGAGGAGGACGTGGGGCACTATCACTATGACGAGGACGGTGAGGCGGTGAAGGATGGGGAGGGTTCGGAGGGGGAGGAGGAGGAGGAGGTGGAGCAGGAGGAGGAGGAGGAGGCTGATGAGGAGTATTGGGGAGATGAGGAAGAGTGGTGAGCAGGAGGAGAAGGAGGAGGAGGAGGAGGAGAAGGAGGAGGAGAGTAGCACTAGGAGCAGGAGGAGGGGGAGAGAGAAGCAGGAGGAGCAGCAGGTGGTGCCGCGCTTGGCTGGCGGTGCATCCACGGCGCTGTCATCCCCCCGCCGTCGGCGCCGGACGTGCGGTCTGACGAGCATGGGCTCTCGGGGGAGGGGTCGAGCAGGAGCAAACATCAACTGCACACCAAAGGTCCGGTCTGTTAGGACTGGGCTTAAGGTATTGGTCGGCGCGCGCATCCTCCCGCGTATCTTGTATTTCCTGCGTGTTGCCTTCGATGTCTCCCCTCGTCAGGGAATTGTTCTGTGTTGGCTTGAAGAGGATCAGAAGGCAGCAGAGTACACGGTGAGGAGGAGGAGGAGGAAGAGAGGGACAGCAACGTAAACCCAAGGAGCATCAGCGATACTGCAAGACAACCTCATGTCCCAAGGTCTGTCCCCATAAGTCCCTACAGGCGTAGCCAGGAGTGCAAACACAATTTCACACCAGCATTTGTATGTATAGAGAGGTCTGCAGGTAGATGTTGTTACCAGCGAGATCCCCTCTGTGGCTCGTTGGCATCAGCCACAAACGCTCCCCATGATGCGTGCAACTGTGAGTCGAGTGTACACTTCTGGCTTCGTTGCTCGGGGAGCCACGGGAGGGTTCCCCCGAGAGACCGTGGGGGCGGGTCGACCAGGAGAGTTGCCTCGGGGTCCTGCTGCCGCCCGCCGTCCTGCACACAGGAAAGCGGGATCCTCTTCGGAGGTAGCGAGTTTCAACCGTAAGAGGAGTAGGATGTTAGGTAGGGGAGGAGGGGGAGGAAGAGGAGGAAGAGGAGGAGGAGGCTTCGGAATGTTAGGGTTTGTGATCGGGGATTACGTGCGCAGTGGTCTCAAGAAGGGCGCGTGATGCGTCGCTCCTGCCTCCAATGCTCTGGGTCCACGGCTCGGCACGTACCGTTTGCTTGGCGTGCTTCCTCTTCCTCAGTTGTGCGACGCAAGCTGTCCGCGCAATTTCGCGCGGAAGCGCCTTCTCATGCAGATTCGTTTATTTTGTAATCATGTGTATGTCTATTAGTGTTGTGCATCTACCTCCCTGAGCCATCCTTCCTTGCTGTGTCCTTCTTCACCCCTGTCCTCACCTCATCCCTTTTTCCACACGTTGACACACTCATTCTCCGACACACTGACACCCATGACCATTTCACACTCAAGATTCATTCGCACTCAGACTCATTCGCAGACCCACTCATTTTCGCAACTTCCTACACTCAGGCGCTCATCTCCAGACCTATCCATATTAATGTCATTCATAATTCCGTATTCAAACCACACCCAGGTGCAGGCGATTTATACTTAGCTCAACCACAGATCCTCTGTTACTCTGGCCCTCCCGTACTGAGACTCGCCCGTACTTAGACCACTCACATTGGGATCTGGTCATACATTGCGGAGTCATTTTCAGATTCATACACGCAGACCCGTCACATTCTGACAAGTCACGCTCAGACCCACTCGTACGCAGACTTACCCGCGCTCCGTTCCGCAAAATCAGACCCATTCACACCTGCTCCGCGTATTCAGGTTCGCCCATGGTCGCCTCCGACCCGCACAAATAGGAGCCGCAAGGGAGCACTGCCCAGCTCCATTTGCGCCCATAGTGTGGGGATGTCTCATGTTAGAGCCCCATTGCCGCCGCGACGTCGCAGTCATAGCATCTGAGCGCCCCAAGGGGAAGCCGCCAGGAAGGGCTCTGTTTGCATACCTATCCATTCATAGCACTGCCCCTTGATCACCGCGGTGTCGCAGGGGAAGCCCACATGGGGTATCTCACAGGCCCGCTCGTGCCCAGTTTGTGGGGGTGCAGCGCATCGAGCAAGTCGCTCGTTGTGCACCACCGTCCCATCTCCTTCCAGAGTCTCACGATCCCCGCGATGTAGCAGACAGGACACTTGAACGTCTTGAGGGGGGGGTGGCCAGGTGGTATCTCACGTGCCCGGTCCCGCCCAGATTGTGGAGATCCCTCGAGCGGGGCGCTCGTGTTGCACCTCCGACTCCTTTGATTTCAAAGTCCCATGATCAACGCGATGTCGCAGTAAAGTCCCATGACCACAGCGATGTCGCAGTCATAGAATCCGAGAGCCCCAAGATAGAGCCGCCATGACCTATCTCACGGGCCCGTGCGCACACAGTTTGTGGGGAGATCTCGAGCGAGGCGCTCGTTCTGCACCTCCGACTCCTCTCCTTTCAGAGTCCCATAGTGACAGCGATGTAGCAGGCATGCCACTTTTACGCTCTACGGTAGAGCCGCCATGATGTCTTACAGGTCTTACACTTGCCCGCTCGCGCCCATTTTCCTCGAAAGCCTTGAGCGACACGATTGTTTGGAGCCCCATGTCCACCGCGATGGCGCAGGCGCAGATTTTGAGCACCCCAGTGGGGAACCTCCAGAGAGCGTCACACGTGCCCGTTCGCGCTTAGATTGTCTGGGGATGCCTGGAGCGAGACCCTGGTTTGGGATCCCCCGACCCCTTTCCTTTCAGAGCCCAATGATCACAGCAGTGTGGCAGGCACAGCACATTGGCACACCAAGGGGGAGCCACCTGGGGCAGCATACGGCGGTAGAGAGAAGGCAGCATACAGCGGAAGAGAGAAGCAGAGCTGAGCGCTTATTCTGGGGCTTGCACATCTTTACCCACTTTGGAGGTCCCCGCGTCGAGTAATCTGTGCCGCGCTGGCGGCGTTGGAGCGCCACCACGCAAGGCCGTTTATTCAGTTGTTCCATGATGGGGCCCTCAGGGATGCAGCCTTACGAACGAGTGGCCTCTCAAACAGTGAAGGTTCAGCTTGGGATCCCTTTCCTATTTTTAGGCCCCATCCCTCTGGACTCCATCTTTGAGTCGCCGATCGGTCGAATCATGGCGCGGCAGATGTCCCCCACAGGTTCGCGCTCACGGTGCAGTGGCCCTCCGTGGCCCAGGCAGTCTCCTACGTGGTGGAGCTGCAGGAGACCGGGTCCGCCTCGGTGGAGAGGTTCTTCTGCCTCGACGGGAGTGGTAAGCCAGAGCAGTGGGGCCAGCGCAGACGGGGCCGTGGAAGAGGTGCAACTCAGAAGAGGAAAAGGCACCCGTACTGCCACCTTCCCCTCATGTTTCTTCGTTTTTGGGCCTCTCGGACGGCCCTCGTCGCTACTGCTGGATCCGCCTCGGATCCGCGGTCAGAATTGCACCCTAGGAGAGATCCGGGGAGTAGTAGCGGTATCGGTACGTTTTGGTTTCCCCAGCAGCGGTACATTCATGGAGTGCTATTGCGTTGGTTCGTGCGCAGACGCTGCGCGGGGGGGCGAGCTAAGTGAATGGGGCAGCAGCCGCTGCATTTGGGCCCTTGCGTTCTGGGCCTCCGGGTCGAGCCCCCATCACCACGGCCTGATCCGCCTGGGCATCCTTCGAAGGCGTGAATCATACACCAAGTCACTCCCAGGATGTCGAATTTAGAGCACGGATTGTTGTTGATGCCGTTTGCTCTTCCACTTTTCTTTCGCTGATATGTGCTTCGTTGTCCCTCCGCTGCGCCGCGCGTGTTCCCCCTCCTTCGCCCGCCGTCCCCCCGGGCGCACCCCGAGCAAAAAGGTGTGGTCAGCCACGCTCGTCCTTCCAATGTTCCTTTCGGTGATCTGCGTGTTCGTCTTCCCTCCGCTGCGCCGCGCGTCTTCCCCCTCTAGGGGGCCACTTGCGAACCCTACCCCCACCCCCCACGACTTCTGAGGGGGAGGGTGGGGTTCACTTCGCTCGGGAGCTTCTGAATCAATTGAACCCCCCCCGCCCCCTCAGAAATCGTGGGGGGTAGGGGTAGGGTTCGCATGTGGCCCCCTACTATGGTCAGCCACGCTCGTCCTTCCAATGCTCCTTTCGGTGATCGGTGTGCTCGTCTTCCCTCCGCTGCGCCCCCCAGTCTTCCCCCTCCTCCGCCCGCCGTCCTCCTGGGGCGCACCCCGAGCAGCGGGGTCCTGGTCGGCCGGAGGGCTCCTCCGGAGGGAGGGCGCCCGTTCCTCGAGGGCCGCTCGGCTCGGCATCGCTCGGGCGCGTGCGTGCTGCTCTGCGGGGGCCCTGCTCCAGTCCATGGCGTACCTTGTCCTGTGCAAGTTCATTCGGCACCGCCTGTACTCTGAGCCCTCCGGCCGCCTGAGGCCCTGCCCGCCCGCGCCCTGTCTCCCCAATCAGGGCTACCCGCGTCCCGTTTAGCTCCTGACCGGAAGGGGCCCGCTCCCGACCAGCAGACCAAAAAGTGTTGTTTTGCGGGGCGCGAAAGCGACCACAGCCACTGCTTTTCTTCTGCTGCCGCCTTCCAGCCAGCAGAAACCAAGGCAGTGGTCGTGGTCATGTTCGCTGCGCTTGGCACCAGGGAGATGACCACGACCACTGCTCCTTTTTCGGCCAGCTGGAAGGCGGCGCGAACAAGAAGCAGTTGCTGTGGTCATTTTCCCGTCCCGCATGTTTCTTTTCGGCGAGGACCATCGTCGGAAACTGGAACGTATACGTTACCAGTGGCGGGCTGTTTTTCAAACCCAGGATTTGTTGAGGGTCGGGGGCGACGTCGGGGTGGTGTTGTGTTTTTATTTTTTTCCCCCGTCTTCCCGTGGAAGCAGCAGAAAGTACATACACCAGGATGCCGTATACACCAGAATTCCTCTTCCTGTGCGGATATCACTGCGGGACCAGAAAACAGCATCGGTGTAGAAAAGTTGGTTCATCACATCGGGGAGCATCCCGGATCCCCGGGCAACCAAAAACAGCACACGCCAGACCAAACAGAAGAATGCACGGGGCATGGTGAGCGTGCTTCTGTTCCTCATTTTGCCGATCGGCGCGGGCCCTCACGCCCCCCCCCATGGAGTAGATCTTGGCTGTGTTTGCGCCTGTTTCAAGCACGTGGAGCCAATTCCCCCATCGGGCACGTTGTTATCGGAGGTGGATCGATTTTCCACCCTGACACGTCGATTACGGAATTGGCCGTTTCCGGCTCGCGAGAGGGTGTCGCGGCCGTCATTTTTGCGGGTCCGGGTCCGTCGGTTTCCGTCCCAAGCCGTTTTCACTAAGGGGAGGTTTGCTAAAAGGAGGTTTCTCCATCGCCGATGCTACGACCAGACGCAGTAAGCAGAGGTCTGGAGCCAGACCCCCCCCTCTCCCCCTTTCCGCCCCATGTCGAAGCGCCGAATAAGAAACTGCTCGTGTGGACGTCCGAGCGACGGCAAGTTAGCCAACGCCACCTATGAAAGGGTGTTCTTCGAACGCCGCCCCCCTCGCTCGGCTCCCTGTCGAGCTCGGAAAATAGATGGAGGAGAACATCAGAGGGACCTGTGCAGTGCAAACAGGAACTTGCTTGGGATGGTGAAGCCTTCTCAGGCCCACGGAACGGGGGACTGGGACAAGGGGATCCCGCGCCGGTGCCCCGACCATTGCATGGGGGACCAGGGTTCCGGACCAGACCCCAGACTGCAAGATGGCCTTCCCCCCAGCGGCTCGAGATCGCCCCCAGACACCTGGACGGAGGCCCGAGCTAACGGAACCACAGCCTAGCAAGACTCAAAGATTGCCCCCCGAGGCTTCCAAGGTGCCCCAGGAGAGCTCCCACGGGGCGCCTGAGGGGTCCCAAACACTGATTTCCTGAAGCAGCCTATTCCGGCGCCTGGCGCCCTCCCGCCGCACCCTTGTAGGTGCCTCGACGCGGGCTCTTGTCTTGTCTTGTCTTGTCTTGTCTTGTCTTGTCTTGTCTCGTCTTGTCTTGTCTTGTCTTGTCTTGTCTATGTTCAAGGACTTTAACATTGCCGCGTCTTTCTTCAGATCGTCGAAGACGGCCCATGAGACCCCCAAGATCGGCCGCGAGTGGTTCCGCGGTGACCCCAAGCTGGCCTGGAGACAGCCCAACAAGGGCCCAAGGCGATCCCGAGTGGCCCCCAAGACGGCCAGGCAGGCGCCAAGAGGAGCCCTGGCCTCCAGGTCGGCTCCAAGAGAGCCCGGAATCGGCTCGAACCCCCAAACAGGCCCAAGATGGCCCCACGGCAGATTCCAGGCGTCGCTACACCTGTCTCTGCTCTGACCGTGGCTCTCCCCACGGCCGCCTGTCAACTGCAGCTGGAGCCTTGCAAGCAAACAAGAAAAACGAAGAGCCCAATAACACGGCCCAGCGGCGCCTTCAGATGCAACTCGACCACAGGTGAGCGTTTCAATGTATCGAAATCGACCTGCGCGGTGTTTTTTGTCCCAAGCGTTTGGCCATGTGGGCTCCTACTGGCAGTGGGGCGGCGGTGACTTGCCGAGGCGTATGTGGCACCTTTTTCTTTGTTCCCTACCTAGGCTCTACCTAGAAGGGTTCTTATTGTGTTATCTTAAAGGGCCGGGCAGTGTAAAACGCCCCTGGCGGTTCCCCCAGGACCCGCCCCGCGGTTCCCCCGGCATCCGCCCCGCTAAGCTAAGCTAAGCTTAGCCTAGCTTAGCTTAGCTTAGCTTAGCTAGTATCATCTGGGCTTAGCCTAGCCTAGCTAAGCTTGGCTTAGCTTAGCTTTCCTTAGATTAGCTTAACTTAGCCTATCTCATCTTAACGTAGCTGTGCCTAGCCTGGCTTAGCTTAGTTTATCTAAGCTTAGCTTATCTTAGCTTACGTTAGCTTACATTAGTTTAGCTAAGCTTATCTTAGCCTGGCTTTGCGTATTTCATTTTTGCTTAGCTTAGCTTAGCTTAGCCTAGCTCAGTCTAGTATAGCCTAGCTGGGGCTAGCCTAGCTTAGCTTAGCCTAGCTTTGCTTAGCCTGGCCTATTTCATCTTAGCTTAGCTTAGCTTAGCTTACCTTAGCTCAGCTTAGCTGAGCTTAGCCTATCTCATCCTAGCTGAGCTTAGCTTAGCCTGGCCTAGTCTAGCTTAGCTTAGCTTCGTTTAGCTCAGCGTAGCTTCTCTCAACTTACCCTATCTCATCTTAGCTTAGCGTAGCTAAGCTTAGCTTAACTACCTTAGTTTCGCTCAGCTTAGCTTAGCTTAGCTTATGCTGATTCCCTAGGGGCTCAAACCCCTAGGTAGGGTCGCGCTGTGATAATGATGTTATCAGTCGTATTATCATTATCCGGTTACTCGCTTCCCCTCCCCAGCCGTCTTCCCTTCGCAGTATCGCCACTCATCGTCTGGCATATTCCCCCTTCTCATCTTCATGTGGCCTCCTCCTTCTCCTCCGGGTTGCGTCTCTTCCAAAGGCCAAATAAGTTGCCAATGGGATCTTCGATATTCAAAGCTAGTTCGCTCCCTAATGCAGTCACGACAAAGACCCTGCGATCTCGAACTGTTCGTCGGGAAGCTGCCGCATAGCACGCGTCTATCAAGGTCCCGTCGCGACCCCAAGACGCTATATGCACCCAGCGGTTGCCGTTTGTCATGGCACGGCACGTTTGCTTTGCTGCGCCTTGGTTCCCAACCCAACTAGAACACGAGCGCGCGCCAAGCGCGCGATGGTTCAGCTGTCATGTAATTATGTCCCCCCCCTCCTCAAACTGCCCCTGCTTTTCAACTTCCGTGATTGACGGGCCGGCTCGGCCGAGAGGTTCTTTCAGCCCGCGAAGTTGGCGGCCCCTGGCTCGCTGGTGGAGCTCCGCATAGGCCAGGCGGGCTTGACGAGAGCACCAGCGGTAGTGCCGCCATCGCCCCCCTTCCCCCGTCCAATCCCATGGTTTGCAGGAGGTATGTCGGTTTGTTGGCATCAAGAACGCCGCTGCCATGGCCATCGCCGATTGACATAGTTGTGCGACGTCCGCTCCAGATTTCGGTCCAGTTTCTGTCAGGCGTAGCATCGTCAGCACCACAATTGTTGCTTATGGAAATACCTGAAAGCCATATTTTGTCATTATCGTAGATCCCTTCATACTTCAAGTTTGGTTCAAACGATGTTTTCCGTGTTGCTCAGTGGCAATGTGCAAATTATTAGGTTACCGTGGATGGCCACGTCACGTCCATCGTGCTATCACTTATGAAGCGTGGTGGCACATGGCGTCCATGTTGGCATTCCCGTGTATAGGCAAGTTTGCACATTGTAGTGGTTGAATTCGTTTAACACGTGCGCTATCTGTGCTCATGGGTCTAACATGCGAATGCATTTGCGAAGCTTGCATCATGGGTATCCCCCGCATGTGATGATGCACCCGCGCGTGTTACAATATTTGCGCCCAGTGTCCCGACCCACGCAGCGGTAATCCCGTAACGACCCTGCGTGAATTATATATATATATATATATATATATATATGCCAGAGTCTTGATGCTTCCCACACTTGGATCACTTGCACCAAGTTTCCTCTCTGCCAGCGAGGCGGGGCATGAGGATAACGGGCCGGCCGAGGAGTGGAGGTGGGACGCAGATTACCACGGTGACGCGGCGGAAGGAAAGGGAGTTGGGGAAGACGAGGAGGACGACCTTAGAGGAGGAGGAGGAGGAGGAGGAGGAGGAGGAGGAGGAGGAGGAGGAGGCAAAACTCACACCATCATGTAAGACTGCGCGCTGCGTGCGCGAACCCACGCAAATAACAGTGACCAGAGACTTCGGCCACTAGCCGCGCATGGCCGCAGTGGTCACTGTGCATGTACATCATGACGCGACGATGGATTCGAGTCTGCGGCTGGCGGTTGTCTTGATTCTCGCTGCCCGAGCTGGGCGCACAGAAGTTCTGTATCCAGTGGCCTGGTGCCTGGCTGTCTTGACATCGGCGGCCGCAAAAACACCAGTCTCTTGGCATCGCTCGGACGTGTGCGTTTTTTCCTCGGCGAGGACCATCGAGGAGCATCCTTGATCATCTGGCGAACAAAACCACGCACGACACAACAAAAAAATAGGGAATGGACGTCCGAGCGATGGCCAGCTGGTGCCTGGCTGTCTTGACGGCGGCGGCCGCAAAAGCACCAGCCCGCAGCTCCTTTCCTGCTGCCTCCGGGGCCGCACGCCGACGCCGTATACTTGTGGACGGCGGGGCCCCTGGATGCCTCGACATAGGAAATAGGGGTGGGGTCAGAGGCACCTCCTCCCTCCTCCCTCCTCCCCCTCCTCCTCCTCCTCCTCCTCCTCCTCCTCCTTCTCCTCCTCCTCCTCTTCCTTCTCCCCCTTCTTCTCCTCCCCCTCCTCCTCCTCCCCCTCCTCCTCCTCCTCCCCCTCCTCCTCCTCCTCCTCCTCCGCCGCCTCCTCCCCCTCCTCCTCCAGCTCCTCCTCCTTCTCCTCCTCCTCCTCCTCCTCCTCCTCCTCCTCCCCCTGGTTCCTGGTTCCTGGTGGCATGACCTCCCGGGCGCGGGGAGGGCACAACGGGCCAGCCACCGCCGGGCCTCCTCGCGCGGCCCCTGGAGGGAGGAAACATCAGCCTCAAGCTGGGTGCGCTCCCTAACCCCACCTGAGGCTAGCCCGCCCGCTACGTACTCTCGATCTTAGAGGCCTCCAGGACCTGTCTCGGGGCCAATTTTGGTTGAGGAACTTTGGCTCAGCGTGTCGCGTCGCCGGTTCTAGGCCACCACGCTTCGCCGCGACACGCCGAACGCGTCCCAGTCCCCAAGCGTCAACGCCTCGAGTTTATCCTGGCATCCCGCCCCGTTTAGCGGAGCGATGCGCAATCCGCTTGTACGGCATAGCGTGTCGCAAGGGTCGCCTTCGCCAAATCATCAGAGTGAGGTGGCCGAACGGTCATTCACTGTCCCTGGGTGCGTGGCTGAAGTGAGATTCCGCAGTGCGGATTCTTGTTGTTGTTCCCTACCTAGGCTCTGCCTAGAAGGGTTCTTACTCTCTGGGCTTAAAGGGGCCGGGCAGTGGAAAGCGGCCCCGGCGGTTCCCCCAGTATCCGCCCCGCGGTTCCCCCAGTTATGTCCCCTTAGCTTAGCGTCGCTTATCTCATCTTAGCTTAGCTTATTAGCATGGGTGTAATTCCCTACCTAGGCTCTGCCTAGAGGGTTAGCTTAGCTTAGCTTCGCATAGCGAAGCGCTGCATTAGCTTAGCATAGCATAGCATAACATAGCCAAACATAGCATAGCATAGCATAGCGCAGCATCGCATAGCATAGTATAGCATAGCACGGCATAGCGCAGCCTGGCGTAGCTTAGCATAGCATAGCATAGCTTAGCATAGAACAGCGCATCATGACATAGCATAGCTTAGCACAGTACAGCATATAATAGCATGTCATAGCATAGCGCAGCATAGCACAGCATAGCATAGCATAGCGCAGCATAGCATGGCATAACATAGCATAGCATATCATAGCAACTAATGCTGCTTTCCAAGGGGCTCCACCTTCTAGGTAGGGTCGCACTGGGGTAATTTGTTCCCTACCTAGGCTCTGCCTAGAAGGGCTCTTACTCTCTGGGCTTAAAGGGGCCGGGCAGTGGAAAGCGCCCCGGGCGGTTCCCCCAGTATCCGCCCCGCGGTTCCCCCAGTCCCCTGGGAGCTTTAGCTTTAGCTTTAGCTTTAGCTAAGCTTTAGCCTAGCTTTAGCTTAGCTTTGCCTTAGCTTTAGCTTAGATTCAGCTTAACTGTAGCTTAGCTGTAGCTTAGCTTTAGCTTAGCTTTAGCTTAGCTTTAGCTTAGCTTTAGCCTAGCTTTAGCTTAGTTTTAGCCTAGCTGTGGCCTAGCGTTAGCTTAACTTTACTTCAGTTTTAGTTAAGCTTTAGCTTAGCTTGAGCTCAGCGTTAGCTTAGCTTTAGCTTATGTTTAGCTTAGCTTTAGCTTAGCTTTACTGTTACTACTAATGCTGCGTTCCTAGGGGCTCCAACTCCTCGGTAGGGTCGCACTGGGATAATTGTTTGTTGTTTGTTGTTTGTTGTTGTTGTTTGTTGTCCTCGTCCCACCCGCACCCACCCGCGACCCACCCCGCGACCCACCCGCGACCCACCCCGCGACCCACCCCGCGACCCACCCGCGACCCACCCCGCGACCCACCCGCGACCCACCCCGCGACCCACCCCGCGACCCACCCGCGACCCACCCGCGACCCACCCGCGACCCACCCGCGACCCACCCGCGACCCCCACCCCGCGACCCACCCCGCGACCCACCCGCGACCCACCCGCGACCCACCCGCGACCCACCCGCGACCCACCCCGACCCACCCCGCGACCCACCCGCGACCCACCCGCGACCCACCCGCGACCACCCCCCCGCGACCCCCGCGACCCACCCGACGCGACCCACCCGCGGCCCACCCGCGACCCACCCGCGACCCACCCGCGACCCACCCGCGACCCACCCTGCGACCCACCCCGCAACCCACCTTCGACCCAAACCACGTTCCAGGAACAAACCACAATGTTCGGCGCCTGCGGCGGGCTTTTTTTGCATCCCTTCCAGGTGGAGCGCCCGCGACCCACCCCGCGACCAACTCGCGACCAACCCGCGACCCAAACCACGTTCATGATACAAACCACACTTTTTTTCGGCGCCTGCGGCGGGCATCCTCTGCACTCGTTTCAGTCGGAGAGCCCGCGGCACACCCGCGACCACGTTCCGGGCGCATTCCAATTTTTTTCGGCGCCTGCGGCGGGCATCTTCTGCATCCGTCCCCGGTGGAGAACTTTGCGGCCCACCCGCTATCCAAACCACGTTCCGTGTACAAGCCAATTTTTTCGGCGCCTGAATGAACTGTTGCATTCCTTCCAGGTGGAGGTGGAGAGCCCGCGACCCAAACCGCGTTCACTGAACAAACCAATGCCGCACAAGCGCGGCTGCGGATTTCTGCATGCCGTATGAGCCCGCAACGACCTCTTCAAGCCCCGCTCATCCACACCAGCCCGTCCAGCAACTTTGCCCTGGCGAGGCGCCTTGATCAGAGAAGTCGGGGAGCATGACATGGAAACACGGATTGCGTTGCCGCTGTCTTTGGAAAGGAGGGGGAGGCAGGAGGCGTAAACAGGGGACGAAGAGGACGCGGAGGAAGAGAGGATGTAAGGATAATGTGGAGAAAGAGGAGGAGGAGGAGGAGGAGGAGGAGGAGGAGGAGCAGGAGGGGAAGGAGAGGGAGGAGGGGGGAGGAGGGGGAGGAGGAGGGGAGGAGGGGGCGGAGGGGAAGGAGGGGGAGGAGGGGGAGGATGATGATGATGGACGACAATGGGAGGACGGTGATGGAGGCCGATGAGGGGGAGGACGACAATGGGAGGACGATGATGGAAGGACGAGGGGGGGAGAGGGAGGACGAGGAAGAAGGAAGAAGAGGAGGAGGAGGACGAGGTGGAGGAGGAGGATGACGATGACGATGAGGACGAGGACGAGGACGACGAAGAGGAGGAGGAGGAGGAGGAGGAAGAGGAGGAGGATGAGGAGGAGGAAAGCGCCATCGACAGGGAAGGTGGGGGCCACGAGGTCCGCCGGCTGGACGACGCCCGCGTCGCCCCCGCCCGCCCCCTCACTCTTATCCCCAATTGCGGGGTGCTACGTAACGGATTTTCGGTTGGCGGCTCCCAGGCGAAGGTCGAGGAGCGGGGCATCGAACGGGGCGCGAAGCGGAGATAATTGGCCGGGGTGGCTACGCAACGGGTGCGCAGCAACCCGCATTTTCGTATATGAGTGAGGGGGGCGGGCGCGGGGTGGGTCAAAGGGACGGTCGCGGGTGGGTCGCGGGTGGGTCGCGGGATGGTCCCGGGATGGGTCGCGGGGTGGATCGCAGGTGGGTCCGGGCGGGTCGCGGGCGACGACGCCGACAACAATAGCGATTTGCTCCAGGAAAGCCCCCAGAAGAAGCATTCGACGCTGTTCGTCGCCAGCGGTTCCCAGCCCCGCGCTCCCAGGACCGACGGCTCTTCTCCTGTCGCCGACTCCGCGAGCAGTCCCGCGCCGATATTGTTGTGCTCGTGACGCCCAGAGTCGGCACGAGCGAAATGGGCACGGAAAGAGAATGGGTACGATGCCCAACGGCAGTCTTTGTTCATTTTGAACCGGACTCGCTGTCCGCGCCGCCGCGGTCTGTGCCCACTTGAGACAGAAGGCCGCCTGCCCAATGGCGGCCGCTGTTGGTCTGGGGCGACATTTGTTGCTGGGCACTGTGCCCACTCTCCGTACACATTTCGGGCGTCCAAACAGAGGCCTGGGGACTCCGACTCGGCCCGGCGGTGACTGGCCCGTTTTGCCCTCCCCACCCCCCCGTTCTAAAAAAATGTCCCTTGAAAATGGAAAGGGCAAAAAAAACGGCGCACCGAAACGGCAAAAAGCGGCTCCAGGATTGGACCCGGAGCCGGAAGCGGTTAAAAAACGGCGACGGAACCTGTAAAAAACAGCGTCGGAACCACAAAAAAACGGCAAAGGGGAACCGGTAAGAAACGGCCCTGCCGTTTCCAGGGTCCATTAGGGCCGAGCGGTCTAGGGACTCCGCCTTGGCCCGGCGGTGGCTGGCCCGCCGTGCCCTTCCCGCGCCCGGGAGGTCATGCCACCAGGAACCAGGAATCAGGGGGAGGAGGAGGAGGAGGAGGAGGAGGAGGAGGAGGAGGAGGAGGAGGCGGAGCCGTAGCCATTTTGGCTCAAGTCCCACGGAGCTAACCTCCCGTGGGTCCCGACTCCAGAGGCTCGAGGTCGCGGTGGAAGGGCAGCCCCTTCCATAGGCCTGGCTGCCGCGGCCCAGGTACTGAGCGTTCGGGGGAGCGCGCCTCTCAACCCTCTGCAGTATTTTCAGTTCCGACACCCGCGGCACATGTCCCATGGGCGCCCTGGCGATCGGTGGAAGTGCAGCCTCTGTGGATGCGGGCAAAACCTCATGCACTGGACCTGGTGCAAGCACTGCCGCAAAGGACGCACATGAAGAGCCAACGCCAGCTCCGTGGGCTAGTGACGCAGGAGCTGGGCGCGGCACCAACAGGTGGACCCGCTCGGCCAGCCGGGGGCGGGGCGCGGCCACCGCAGCGGCACAGGTCTCGGCAGCCGACCTCCAGAAACTGGTGGACGTGGCCACCCAGTTGGGCGACACAGACACAGCCAACAAGTACGCCGCGGAGCTGGCCAAGGCGAGTGTGGTCCGCCCCGTCCACCAGTGTGCAGCAGCAGACTACTGATCAAACTGAGCTCGTGCGGAAGCTGGTGGGTGACCTCGAGGCCGCGGAGCTCGAGTACAAGGTTGTCTTGGAGGAAGAATGCCACACCAAGCTTGGCCCCAAGGAAGCCAACCCCTCCAAGCTCGACTTGCAGTCCCTGCTCCAAGGCAAGCTCAGTGCCGACGACCTCATTGACTGCGGGGACGTGTTCGACCTTGGAGAAGAGTACGAGCTGGGAACCGAGGATGAGGCCGGGATCGCGAAGCGCAAGGAGGAGCTCAAGACCGCCATGCAGGCCGCTGCTGCTGAGCTTTTCAAATCGGCCAGAGAAAAGTGCGATGCCACCCGCAGAGCCCATGAGGAGCAGAAGAGGCGCCTCAAGACCAAGCGGCCTA